AGAGAGAGAGAGACTTGTATAACTTTAGAAAGACATTGTATCATCTTTGTAATGTACATACATTCACATATAAAAGAAATATCTGATTTTATAATTTCCTTATAGTTTTAGAAAATTTGTATTAATAAGAAAAAAAATAGAAAAATTGCATAAATTAATTGTATTTAATTGTATCATGATTATTAAAGTCTTATTTATTTTTCAAATTATATCTTACATACACATACATCAACATAAACAACCATTTTTATTTTGCGGTAATTCGCCAACTAATATTTTCGTGGATCAATGCGAATAACAATCGTTTGTCTAACGTCTATGAGCGCATAAAAGATACATGATGAGATTAGTATGATGAAACTACCTTATGAGATTTGCTGATAGCTATTTAAAATAAATTAAACTTTGTATTTGATTGACCTTTACAGTTTTGTATATTACAAAATAAACTGCTTAAAGTACGAAAGAATAAGGATTTTCACTTGTTTTGTTCTTTTTAGCTGTACTGCTGAATTAGTGCGATAAATTAGGGTAGAAGGAAGTATATGTGTTTCACTTTAATTTATTGCACCAGTTCAACAGTGCAGTTAAAAAGAATATTTAATTTTCTGCTACAATAATATTCTGTAACAATTTATACATCGAGTCTCAAGCGACGACGTGAATAATAAATAATGGTAGGTGTAATTCTAAACGATAAATCTAGATAAGACTTTCATCCCGTATAGATTTCGCTTTATTCTTCCAATGAGTCATAATTGCATGAGGCACAATGCAGATAAGATATAATCGTTAAACGTTAGTCAATATCACATAGTGACAGTGATCGGGTCGTAGTGAAAATCTTCAGTGTCGCAGTATTAATAAGCAATCTACAATGTTTAAAATTGAATATTTTTCCAAAAGAAAGCTCCCAGAATTAACAATCGAATTAATTGGATCTTTTAGTATTGACGGTGATTTGCAATATCACGCTGATTTATCGCAATTAAAATATTATATTCCTCCTTCAGATCCTAATGTATATTATGATCTTGATTATAATGCTGCGTCTACTTGTCACAAACCTAATTCATACATCAAATTGGATGATATATTAAGATGGATTTCGGACAATTTTAACCAGCTTGAAAAACCATTATCACCGAACGAAAGACATTGGTATGTTATTAAATAATATATGTATATATATATTTCTTACTATTTTAAATATAAATAATAATAAATGATAATTGTTCAAATAGTATACGATATTCTAGAATCATCCCGAACGTGTCCAAAACGTCTACAAAATCCTCCAGGACATCTTGGACACATTCAGGGTACCAATTATGTATCTTTTCCGTAGCGTAAACTTGTGAAAAGTGAAATTTTACATAAAAAAACTGACATTTTTGTTTACACAAGTTATATGGTCGCTAAGATCGTCAAGTTCACGTGGAACTTTCCACTTTTCACGTTTCTGTTTTGAGACAAAATTATATGATCGCTGCTCTGAATGACTTTAGAACGTCCTGTACTATCTAGGTTTTTACAAGTAAACTTAATGATAACAAATGATAATTCTTACACTAACCGCATTTATCATTGATTAGGTTGAGTGTAGACTTTGTTTGCCGCCGTGGTGCATTAAAAACAATATTCTCTAGCCCGTATAAGAAGTATAAAGGATGGATTATTTGTGCCAGCAAATATCGTGGTACAATATACTTATGTGAATATTATACAGATGAAGGTCAACACGTCAATGACAGCAAAGATAAACTATATTCACGTGGATTTAAGTTTGAACAATATATGGTAGCAGGTATTACATTCACATTATATATAGCAACAATTTGATCAATCTATATGATTTTTATTACAAATTAATTTACGTACATAATTTACGTAAACATGATTGTGCAATATGTATTGTTTGTTTAACAGATCACCCAGCACATAAGCCAGATTTATCAGTGCCTCTCAATGAATGTGAAGAATTTCGTTGTGTGTTTAAAACAAAATTTGGCGATCATTCGCTATTATACGCAGCAGAAATAGACGGCATTTCTTCAGAACAGCCAATAGAAGATACTCTCATTGGCAAAAAATTTACTATCATCGAAATGAAAACATTACCATTGTATGATAAAAATGGGAGTTTGTATGGCAAACTTACTCCTGACAGAGTAGCAGGATGGTGGAGTCAGAATTATTTAGCAGGAATAGACACAACTGTATGTGGATTAAAAGTTGGAAATGCAGTGCGGATGATAAAAGAATATCCTACGCATATTTTGCCGCAATTTTCAAAAGTACTTTTAAATTCGTTAAAAAAGATAAACTGTATATTTATGTGGTCATACACACATATTAATTTTATTTTTTTTTTATTACGCAGGTTGACTGTAATATGGACAAGTGTAAAATGTTCTGCAAAATATTTCTAGACTATGTCAAAAGAACCGTAATTAAAGATCATGATGAATGCATGTATAAATTTCAGTGGAATCCATCCACTAGGGATATTGTGCATTATAGCGAAGAATGTCCTAATAATGAAATGTATACATTTTTGAAACCATGGTTTACAAGTAGAGCGGAAAAACACAAATTTCCTATAAATGTAAGAAATTAAAACACCTAAAAAATGTTGCAGAAAAATGTTGTAGAAAAATCCAAGAGATCCATTAAAGACGTCCTAGTCTGTACGCAACATAAGTTAATGTTAAAAACATACTTAAACTCATAGTGATTCTTGATTATATTTTCAAACTCGTATAATATTTCATTTGTCTTCTTCAAATATTGAGACCATATATTTTATTATTTTATAAGTTATATATATACTTTATAAGATACATATACAAATATTATAAATAATAATTATTTTCTGGAAATGTTTGATACAGAGTGGTTACTATTTTGTTTTATACCAAATTTCATACAATAAAACTTAAATACGATAAACTCATACACTTGATGTAACTTTTTATTGTACTGTTAAGTAGAATATAAATTTGTTGATTTTATGCATATTAAACACTTCGACCTAATACTTGATTCATTGCCTCCATTTCTTTGTGGGATATAGGATTTAACATAATTCCAGATGCCGGTGGAATTAACTCTAAATCGCGTAATTCGTTTACTTTTATCTTTAAGTAAACCCTCTTATCTTATTAATTGTGTTATTACTTTCTCTCCAATCTACAACATCAACAAATATTTTATTATAGAATGTAAAAGATCTGGATATCATTTGATCTTAGTTTCAATTTCATACAGCATGAATTTAGGAAAAATTATCTTTCTTGAGCAGTTCTATAGATTGCATCTTCAGCAGCAATGGACCCACCGTTATCCACGTTTTTTTATACGGCTCTTTTTCTAGGAATTTCATTCCAACGCGATTATCGTTCCTTCGTTTATCCAGAGCGACTATCTCGTCGAGATCAGTGAGAATCTCACCAGCTTTATATTCAACTTGTTCTAAGTGTTCCAATATTTTTTCGTGATCACTCATCTGTAACGTAATTAGAACATTTATATATTATCGTTTATATTTATTTCTTCCTCTTATTATATTCATATATCGAAAGATTCATAGATAAGTACATTTATTTGTACAAGGTTCATTCTTACTGTATTTTTTAATAAAATAAAGACAGAGTCTCTGTACTTTGATTTACATTTTTATTAACAATTGATTGATACAAAAAATAACACTATCAATTGCATTAGCGCCAAGTACACCAATGCAAAGATCGCTCCTGATGAGTTCACCCAGCCCGAGTTATCCGTGGACTACAATGGTAAGAGAGACTGCTAGGCTTACTACGATCCATCTGAGCACAGGGCCATAGTGTAAGAGTATTAGAAGAGAAGTATCGAGGAGGCCAAGAGACAGATGCGCGCAAAAAAGCTCAAGGCGGAGGAGAACGATGAACAGGATTCGAACATGTGGACGAGGTGGACATGCCCGGCACGAAGGTGAACTCGAAGCAGCGCATCACTGTGAGAAATCTGCGTATCCGGGAGGACACTGCCAAGTATCTGCGCATCTCGATCCGAACTCCGCGTTACGACCCCAAGACCAGATCCATGCGGGACAATCCTTATGTCGGCACCGAGCGCGAGGTGGATTACAAAGGCGAGAACTTCGTGCGCTTCTCCGGCGACACTCAGCAACGCCGGGTCCACCTCGTCCACGTATTTGTCCTTATCCTTGTCCGAATCATGTTCGTCGTTCTCCTCCGCGTTGAACTTTTCCGCGCGTATCCGTCTCTTGGCCTCCTGGACCTTCTGATACTCCTCTACTATGGCTGCGTTCAGAAAACATAGCTGATCAGTGAGCGGTCAGTGATTATTGGTCCTTATTGTTAGATCTCTAACTTTAGACCAATTATATTGACGAATTGCTCAACTGTTGTGCAACTGTTGAGTTCGCTGAACGCACCTTATGACTCTATGCTCAGATGGATCGTAGCCAGCCCAGCGGTCCCTCTTATCGTAGTCCATGGATAACTTGGGCTGAGTGAACTCATTCGAAGTGATTTTTGCATTGGTGTACTTGGCGCCAACCTTGCGTGGTCTTTCCATGAATTCTTTCCTTTTGTGTTATCGCACCACAGTTCTCACAGGCACCCTTGCGATACTTAGTCACTATGTTTGAGCTGTCTACCCTTATAGAAATATCATACTAAGAATTATTGATAATTACTTATTATCCAGTATTTTTAATACTGAAAATAAGTAATTATCAATGATTTTTAGTATGATATTTCTATAAGAGTACTCCACGATTGTATGATGCATTTATGGAGCTATATTGCTTCTGCTTCTCTGGCTGTGGCCATTGGTGCTTCAGAGTAGCGCCGAAGTACCATGGAGTCGCACTGATGTACTGAGGTATGTGCGGATTGATATTTTTTCCTTCTTCATCTACGACAGCTGGAGCTGTGCCAGCTTTTCTGGTCTCTTCGAGTTCCTACGCCTTTCGTCAGTCTTTCCGACTCTTCTTCCGCGGCTCATCTTCGAATAAGCTCTTGTTCTTCAAAATGTTCGATACGATCACGTTCGCCAACAAATTGGCCATTTTAGGCGATATTTCGAGGACTACGTCTTTTCTTTCTTTCCTCCTGGAGTACTTATCCAGTTTAGCGGCTTCACCTCCGTTTTCGATAAAAGTAGGCTCAATCGACACGTTTTTGTTAAAGAAACAACTTTTTTATTTGAGGAAATCGTCGCTCTCTACTGCGAAGCAAGATATTAATAGATAAAGTTAAGGGCGCATTAGGCTAGGAAATCTGTCTTACCGTCTATCTATAGCTGTGTGACTGACCTCTGTGAAGTTAGCCCTCCATTTTTAATAAAAACATTTTTTTTGCATAACATTACGCCAAATCGTTTGTAGAAATATGTAGTTAAAGACTTTTCGTTTGTACTAAAAAAATAAAAAAGTTACGAGGGGATGAAAAAATCGTCAGCCCCTCAAAATGGAGAGCTGACTTAAAAAGTGACTTAATCTACGCCAAATAATTTGTAGAGGTTTGTAGTGAAGGAATTATCGTTTGTAGTTGTCCAGAAACAAAATGGCGCCCAATAAAATATTTAAGGGTGCCGTATTTCCACTCTTTTGTGAGGGATTGTTCTCTTCCTTTATAGAAATGTAATACTGATAAGTAATAATTTGGCCAGTGATAATTACCGTTGTTCAATAATTTTATTACTCGTACGAGTAATAAAATTATTGAACGACAGTAATTATCACTGGCCAAATTATTACTTATCAGTATTACATTTCTATAAGGGTAAACCGACTATATCGAAGCTAAATAATTTGTAGAGGTTTGTAGTAAAGGAATTTTTGTTTATAGTTGTTCAGAAAAAAAGATGCAGCCCCTAAGAAATTAAGAGTGACGTATTTCCACCTCTTCGTGAGGGGCTGTTCTCTAAACCGGCTATATTGACTCGAAATAATTCGTAAAGGTTTGTAGTCCCTTATAGAAATATCATACTAAGTATCATTGATAATTACTTATTATCCAGTATTTTTAATACTGAAAATAAGTAATCATCAATGATTCTTAGTATGATATTTCTATAAAGGGTGAAGGAATTATCGTTTGTAGATGTTCAGAAACAAAATGGCGGCCAATTTAATATTTAAAGGTGACGTATTTGCACTTCCTCTTTCTGGACAACTGCAAACGAAAATTCCTTCACTACAAACCTCTACAAATTAGTTGGAGTCGATATAGCCGGTTTAGAGAACAGCCCATCACGAGGGGGTGGAATTACGCCTTCCTTAATTTCGAAGGGGGCTATAACTTTTTTTCTGGACAACTACAAAAGAAACTTCCTTCACTATAAACCTCTACAAATTATTTGGAGTCGCTTAGGTTACTTCTTAAGTAAGCCTCCCATTTTTAGGGTCTGGCGATTTTTCGGCCCCCCCGCCCCCGTAACTTTTTTACTTTTTTACTACAAACAAAAATTCTTTTACTACAAACCTATACGAATTATTTGGCTTCGATATAGTCGGTTCCCTAACAGCACGCGACGTACTGCGTATTATCCCATTTTCGTACTCATTGTACTGTGATCATCTGTGACGTACTAAGTTGAACGCTAGAACGTCACTTATAATATTATTCGTTTTTCTTTCGCGCGCGAATGTTCTCAGATTTCACTCAGGGATACGGAAATGATACGTACGCTTTTCTATCGCGTGCGTACATTCTCAGGTTTGACTGAAATGATACGTACGCATTTGTATCGCGCGCGTATTTACTCAGAACGTACTCAGTCGATCGCAGTACATATGAGAACATTCTGAGATGATCGCAATATACGCATTGCGATCTACTCAAAACGTCCTCAGAACGTCCTCGTGCTATTAGGGTTTAGAGAACAGTCCCTTACGATAGGATGGAAATACGGCAGCTTTAGATATGAAATTGGTTGCCATTTTGTTTCTGGACAACTACAAATAAAAATTCCTTTACTACAAACCTCTACGAATTATTTGGCTCCGATATAGTCGTTTATGGATCAGCCCCTCACGATGGGGTAGAAATACGCCACTCTTAATTACGAAGGGGGTTGTAATTTTTTTTCTGGAGAACTACAAACAAAAGTTCCTTCACTACAAACCTGTTTGAATTATTTGGCTCCTATATGGTTGGTTTAGAAAACAGCCCCTCACGAGGGGGTAGAAATACACCACCCTTAATTTCGTAGGGGCTGTACTTTTTTTTCTAGACAACTTTAAACGAAAATTCCTTCACTATCCCTTATAGAAATATCATACTAAGAATCATTGATAATTACTTATTTTCAGAATTAAAAATACTGGGTAATAAGTAATTATCAATGATTCTTAGTATGATATTTCTATAAGGGACAAACCTCTACGAATTATTTGGCTTTGATATTGTCCGTTCAGAGAACAGCCTCTCACGAGGGGGTGGAAATACGGCATCCTTAAATATTAAATTAGCCGCCACGCTTATAGAAATTTAATATTGATAAGTGATAATTTGGCCAGTGATAATTACTGTCGTTCAATAATTTTATTACTCGTACGAGTAATAAAATTACTATTTATTACTGGCCAATTTATCACAGTCAATGATACTTTTCTATAAGGACAATAGTATTCGTATGTACTTGACAGGGAAAAAAACTCCGGTTGGAAAACTATTCTTTTAAATCGTTTATATTTTGTATGAAGAATTTTGAAGTGCAATTGAAAAGATTTGTGAGTCATTCTATTATTTGTAATTAATTGTTCTTTTTTGGACCATGTATCCTTATAGAAATATCATACTAAGAATCATTAATAATTACTTATTTTCAGTATTAAAAATACTGGATAATAAGTAATTATCAATGATTCTTAATATGATATTTCTATAAGGGTATTTAGCCGGAAATAATGACCGGAGGTAAATTAAACAAAGGTTCGGTATGGTATCGTTTGTATTTTGTATGAAGAGTTATGAAGTATCATTAAAAAAGTTTGTGATCATTAAAAAAGTCATCCAGATAATTTTAATTAAATATTAAAAAATCATGTATTTGGCCGAAATATCGATCTCAAGCGCTGCTGTGGAAGTACAGTCAGGCACGATCGGTGTACTATCTAATATTTCAATACTCATGGTTCATTTTCGGGGAATTATGTATAATAAGGCCTTTTTCGAATTTTGATATTTTTTTGCAGCTCTTTTGGTAAAAATATTTATTTTGACTCCAACATTGATAATCAATCGGGGGAGTCCGAAAAATATGCAAATTGTATATTGTTTTAATTAAAAAAAAATTCTTTTTTCACTTGTCAAACATTGCTGCTTTCCCACAATTTAAACAAGTTACTGATCTTTTAATCACATTATATAACTGCAATATCGAAAGACTAGCGGGGAGCTGTCCCTCCCGCATCTCCCTTAAAATTAACCTAAGCAAACCTATCGTTACATTAGCCGTTAGTCATTGTTTATTAAAAAATTATAAAGAAAAAAGTTGAATATTTTAATGAATAATGATTGACAGTTAATGTAAAGATAGGTTGGATTAAGTTAGTTTTGAGTGGTATTGGGGGGGGGGCAGCCCTCCGCTAGTCGTTCGATATTGCAGTTACATAATGTGATTAAAAGATCAGTAATTTGTTTAAATTGTGGGAAAGCACCCAGATAGCGTAGAGATGAACAGAAGTTCCTATAGAATTCATTTTAAAGAATAGATATAGAATTAGAAAAATGAATACCCGAAGAATTAACCACAGTAAGTTCGTCTTGAAATATTCCT